CCCTCCTCCGCGCCGCGGAGCTTCGCACCGCTCCTGCGCAACGGCCGCGGGGCTCCTCGCTTAGACGGGAAGAAGACGAAATGCCGTTCGTTTACATCTTTTATTGGTGTAAACATTAAAATTGTCTTTCTCAAAGAAAGAGTTTATCGGGGGTGGGGGTGGGGGGTAAATAAATCAGCGTTTCTAACTGTCATACACCATAGAAAAAACGGCAGGGACTTGCACCAGGTGCCGAGCTGGAAATACACAAAGAAAAATACTACAGAATATGGCAATATTAAAAATATTACTCGAACAGAAAATAATATATTAACCGACAATTTTAGACGTTAAAAAAAAAAAAGAAAACAACGAAACAAACCAAAAAAAAATATTCAAAGTGCTCAGTGATTTCCAGGGAGTTCTGTATAGAGTAAGCACTCTGGAAACAGTCAAAAGCTGCTGCATGCAAGGTTTGTTTAGCTTTAGACAACAAAATAATCGAGATATAAACTTCTTTGTTTTTTAATCAACATCAACAGTACAGACAACACTTACAAACAAGGAATGTCTGGACGGTGTTTACAAACACTATGTGTCCCTTCGGGGGGGGGATTTCGGGTTCTGTAATACTTGTGCCCACCTATTGTACAATTGAGAAAACGTTTGAAGCTTAGATAACTACCGGTCTTTATAAAAGCTAACAGACTACATAGTGTCTGAAATACTATTTATAGAATATAGACATTACTGAAATAGCAAGTGCCTATAACATTGTCACCCTAGAATCGTCATGCTTTCCTGGTACCGAGAGATTTCATTTTCTTTCTCTTTAGGCTCCTTTTTTTTTCTTTTTTTTTTTCCTTTCTCTTTTTCTCTTTTTTTTTTTTGCAAACACGTGTAGCTTTTCTCTTTAATTTTTTTTGTTTGTGTTTAGAATCGTTTTCCTTATTTCCTCATAAATAGGCACAGAATAATTTTTTAGAAGCCAAACTGCATCTGATAAATTTACAAGCCTTCGCCTTCTGTAATGCCATGCCACCCACGCAACATTTAGGGTTTGTATATATTACAGCTTTCTTTTACAGCAGAAAACCTTAGTCTTTTAGGAGGGTGAGACTTGTGGGTCACCTTAACGCTCGGTTTGTCACCTTAGCTGCGCACCCGGCGTCGCCAGATATGTTCATCTCTTTAATGGGAAGTCCTTAATAATAAATTCATTTATAAGCTGATAATAAAAAGTTTATACCATGGTGTTTGTGTAGTCCATGATCTGCATCCATGATGCCCCAGAGCCAAAATGCCCGTGCGCGTTCTGCCCGCAGGAGGTTAGCAACACTACTGGGATGGGGAGCTGGCACCCGGAGGTGCCGCTTTGGGCCCGGGCGAATTCCCCTTCAGACAGGTGAAGTTTCTCTTCGGGTCAGTGGAAGTGCGTGGGAAGAGTCTTAGAAAGGTAAGGTGTCCAGAAAAAGTTTGTCGATTATTGCTGGCGGTGGCACCAAATCTTCCAGTTTCAGGTAGAAAATGCGTTGCAGCCCCTGCGTGCAAAGCGTGCGAAGTTCGGGGAGCTTCCCCAAGAGTTTGGACAAATAATTGGGGCGATTCAGCCCCCCGTTATTAAAAGTCACATGGTCTTTGAGACAATTTACAATCTTGTTCTGAAGTTCTTCCACCCTCTTGGGTTCCTTAAGCCCGTGCCTCTCTGCAAAAGAGAAGGGTGCGGGGCGTCACGGGGCTGACCGGGAGGGGAAGGGACGAGGCGCTGGGCCGGGTGGGAAGGGGGGGACACTGACCTGTGACCATAGCCAGGGCAGCGATGCAAGAGAAGGCAGAGATATCGATGTTCATGTTTTGCAAGTTGGAGGAAAATTCAACAATGGAATCGATCCACTCCCCAAAGCCGCGGACGCACTGCAACCGGTGCAGGACCACCCCGTTGCAGAAGATAAGCTTGCCCTCCACGGGATTTGACCTGGAAGGGATATGACAACCCCAAAATGAACAGGTGAATGGATGAGGAAGGAAGAAAAAAAATCGGATAGGAAGAGGAAAAGAAGGAGAAAATGAGAGAAAGGCAGAAGATAAAAAAGAGAGAGAAGGGCGAAAAAAGAAAAAGATGAAGAATTAAGTAGAGAGGAGAGAGGGAAAAGGGAAAGGAAAGAGGGAGCAAAAGGGGAAAAAAAAGAGTAAAAAAGGAAAGTCTCTGCAAAAGAGAAGGGTGCGGGGCGTCACGGGGCTGACCGGGAGGGGAAGGGACGAGGCGCTGGGCCGGGTGGGAAGGGGGGGACACTGACCTGTGACCATAGCCAGGGCAGCGATGCAAGAGAAGGCAGAGATATCGATGTTCATGTTTTGCAAGTTGGAGGAAAATTCAACAATGGAATCGATCCACTCCCCAAAGCCGCGGACGCACTGCAACCGGTGCAGGACCACCCCGTTGCAGAAGATAAGCTTGCCCTCCACGGGATTTGACCTGGAAGGGATATGACAACCCCAAAATGAACAGGTGAATGGATGAGGAAGGAAGAAAAAAAATCGGATAGGAAGAGGAAAAGAAGGAGAAAATGAGAGAAAGGCAGAAGATAAAAAAGAGAGAGAAGGGCGAAAAAAGAAAAAGATGAAGAATTAAGTAGAGAGGAGAGAGGGAAAAGGGAAAGGAAAGAGGGAGCAAAAGGGGAAAAAAAAGAGTAAAAGGAAAAAGGAAAGAGGGAGCAAAAGGGGAAAAGGAAAAGAGAGAAAGGGAAAAAGGAAAGAGGGAGTATAGGGGGAAAAGGAAAGAGGGAGCAAAAGGGGAAAAGGAAAGAGAGAGCAAAAGGGGAAAAGGAAAAAGAGAGAAAGGAAAAAAGGAAAGAGAGGGAAAAAGGAAAGAGAGAGCAAAAGGGAAAAAGGAAAGAGGGAGCAAGGGAAAGAAAGAATAAAGAATAATTAAAACAAAAAGATAAAGAAAGGAGAAGATGGGGGGAGAGAAGCTAAACAACTAATTACTTGAGGAGCAATAAATGAAGGATTTAAGAGGCACCTAATTACCGGGGAGTTAATAAAGCGCAGATCAGCGGACCTTGAAGGGATGGGATT